ACTGAGCACAGGAAGGCGACCTCCACAGGAAACCAAATCACAATCAGAAACCATTAAATCGCCCTGAAAAATCATCATCATAGAATCTAGAAATACCTCAAATCTGTATGGTCAGTTCATTCTTTCCCTAAAGATACCGGGAGCTTAATCATAGTCCAAAAGTTGTTTGACGAGTGGATAATCAGGATGAGGGAGTCTGAGGTGAATGTTTAGTGGCAACAGGTTAGCTTCATGAGTAGATCTCAGCATGGGAATGATTTTGCCTGAAGAAGTGAACTGCTCAAAGCCAAATGGCTAAGACTTCTATTTTTCTAGAGGAAAACTCTTGACGAGGTATATTGGGTTTTTTTGTTCACATAACAAATTACCCAAAACGTAGCAGCTAAAACAACAATTAACATGTTACCACATGCAGTTTCAATGGATCAGGAATATGAGTGTTTCTGGCCGAATTTCCCAAATGTTATCTGGAGTGCAGTCATCTGAAGGCTTAATGGGCTGGGAGTTCTGTTTCTAAGATGGTTCCCTCACAGGGCTAGCAAGTGAGTGCTGCCTGTTGGCGGAAGACTCACTTCCTCACTATCAAGACCCTTCTCCCTACTGGGTTGTTTGAGTACTGTCCCAGCATGGCAGCTGGCTTCCCCGGAGTGAGTAACCCGAGAGAGAGCTAGGTAAAAGCTTCAGTGCCTCTTATTTATTTTTTTAATTAATCTATTTATTTGAGAGAGAGAGAAAGCAAGCGTGAGCGGGGGGAGGAGCAGAGGGAGAGGGACAAGCAGACTCCAAGCTCGGCACAGAGCCCAACCTGGAGCTCGATCCCATGACCCTGAGATCATGACCTGAGCCGAAATCAAGAGTCGGACGCTTAAGCGACTGAGCCACCCAGGTGCCCCTTCAGTGCCTTTTATAACCTAATCCATGAACTCACACACTGTCACTTCTGCTATGTTCAGTTTTTGCTAGAAGTGACTCACTAAGTCTAACCCTGTGCTGTATGGGAAAGGAATTAATTAGGCTCCATCTTTTAGAGAGGAATATCAAAGAAGTTGTGGACATATTTTAAAACCACAGTAGGTATCACCTCTGTAACTACTCTTCTTCCTGCACTTCCGTAGCTGGCAAGGCTTCTGCTGATCCATGCACTCTATTTAAATATATTCATATTACTATATTTGTAAATATAATACACATATACACATTTTATATGTAGTCCTATATTATATATCTTATGTATTATAGAATCACATATTATAAACATTAATGTGTTTAACTTATGGCCAAACTCTCTAGCATGATAATCATTATGTATCTTTATGCTAATTTGCATACCCGAATTCTGCCACCTCCCTAGCCAGGGGGACCGGAGGCAAATGGCTTGACCTCTCCGTGCCTCTCTGTCCTCATCTGTAAAATAAGGCTGTAATAGGACCTACCTCATCTATTTCTTAGGAGGATTAAATGAGTAATTACAAGCACAGAGCTTACAAGAGTGCCTGGCACATAAACCACATTCAGTGCCATTAGCTGTCCGCGTGGCAGTGGTACCTGCTGCAGGAATAGTTCGATCCAGTAGTACACCTCAGAAGACTGCCTTCAGGAGGCAGCCAGCCTCATGTCCGGGTTCCCGATGGTAGTAAACAAAAGTCATCGTTGTCTTCCTGGCCATACCCCAATCCCACACCATCCAAGCCCTGTCCCGAGGATAGAGAAAGACCCATTTCAGGCCTGGGAGGGACCAGGGCCAGGGCCCTTGTTTTCCTCTCCTCTTTGCTGCTAATCCCTGGCAGAGAGTGCTTACATGGAGATAACATGGTTAGTTTGCACTCCGAGTCCTATTTATGTTTTGTTTTTGTTCCTTTTTTTTTTTTTAGGCTGACCTTTTGCAGAAGGGTAGAATACCCAAACAGGGAAGTGACCTCGCAGAAAGCTAGGGAGTTCCTCAACCCCGTGAATTTTTATTAAAACTTGTTCCTGAAATTTATTTCTAAACATACATTTTCCAGGTGTGCGCTAGCTACATCTGCTCATCGGACTGGCATCAGACAGAGATATATCTTCCTCTCGGGACCTTTTGCTTCTTGCCAGTGCCTCTTTAGTTCCTTGGGCGTAATGAATAGATTTTCTCTTTATCTGAAGTGTATTCATAATTAAAAACATGCTGGGTGTTTCCTGAAAATGTATTGATGGCAACTTGAAACTGGTGCTTCCTCCATCTCCCAAAGCTACTTTAAAAGGGAGGCCATACCTAATGGAATGCACCAGGGTTATCTTTTGTCAGGAGGCAGTTAGCTAAATATAGAGTCAGGGAGCCGGGAGGGACCTGCTGAGGTCATGGGTGCCCTCCTGCCATCCGCTTTCTCCATGTGAATGTCTCCAGCCCCATGGCTAGCCAGTTCTGCAGCCTCCAGCCCCGCGTGGCTCCTGAGCACTTCAGCTGCGGCTAGTCCCAGTTGGAGATGTGAGGTCAGTGGTAATATACACCCTGGATGTCGAAGACTTGGTGCAAAGAAAAGAATGTAAAATGTTTCGTTGATGATTTATATTGATTACAAGTTGAGATAATAATGTTTTGATATATTGGATTAAAGAAAATAGATCATTGAAATTAATTTCACCTCCCTCTTTTCACTTTTCTTTTAATACTAGAAAATTTTAAATACCATATGTGGCTCACATTACATTCTACCCAACAGTGCTTCCCTAGACCCATCTATCTCCATTCTTCAGGCCCCCAGGACAGAGATTATAAAGCCTTCCTTGGAGACTCCTCTGGGTCTTTTGTCATCCTGGCACTTCATTTCTTCTCCACATCCAGTCTTAATCTCTGCTGCTTCAATGTGAAGACTTGTACTTCAAATCGTTGACTCTTCGTCTTCTTATGAAATCCCCACATTGAGCATCTCTTTATGTTGTTAATTTATAAGCTCAATAGCCCTATTTTCTTTCACCCTTTGACTTTCTGCCTCTTCCAACTCTGATATTTTTTAATGGCCTTCCCTGGGTCTTTAGACTCCATAATTTTTTTTTTTAAAGGTTTTTTTTTTTTAATTTATTCATTCGAGATACAGACATACAGAGAGAGAGAGAGAGAGAATATGAGCAGGGGGAGAAGTAGAGGGAAGGGGAGAAGCAGGCCCCCCGCTGAGCAGGGAGCCCGATGCGGGGCTCGATCCCAGGACCCTGGGATCCTGACCTGAGCGGAAGGCAGACGCTTAACCATCTGAGCCACCCAGGTGCCCCTAGACTCCATAATTATTTTTAAAAGTCGGTATCTGAAACCAACCAACATGGCTCTAATGTGGGGCCCAACTAATGCAGAGACAAGTAGAAGGCATTATTTCCACCATCGAGTACTTGACCAGTCCTTTTGATACATTTCCACGCAAGGAGGGACAGATGCTGTTGGTAACAGTCTTAACTGATGAGGCAGTTGAGGCTCCTACAGGCGAAGTAACTTACCGAGGTCCCACTGCAAATTAAGTGGCAGATCTGGGATCCATGCCCAGGTTTGCCTGATTCCAGAGCCCACAGTCTTTCATTCTATCCCATGCCTTCCTTGCCTGATACTTTTCTTTGGTCTTGACGGGCCTTATAGTACTTGGCTGGTGCATTTGTAGCTTCTGGTCAACAATGACTCTTGAGCTTGTTCTGATATGTGTGTGCCTTGCTAGAATTGTAAAGCCTGTCTGCTAAATTCCAGAGACCCCTTTTCAACTCAGCAGATACTTCATGAAAGCCAGTAAGACTGCCCTGCCTTAGCCTATGTAGGGTGATCAGTAGGCCAGGGACAATGTCTTCGGGTATCAGGAGTGACTTTTCAGGAAGGGAGCTTTCTTTCTTGTGGCCCCAGGTTCTGAGGATAACTTCCAGTTTCCAGAACAAGCTACTTCTCAAAGGCCAGTCGAAGGCAAAGTACATTGCTTATCCATGTTTACCTAAAGGCAGTCAGTGTGTGTTCTGAGTAGAAGGGGACAAGAAGGTGTCACAAATGGATCTTCTCATGAATGAAGTCACCAGTCACAAAAGGCCAAATACTGTATGTTCCCACTTATATGAGGTAACTAGAGTAGTCAAATAGATAGTGACAGAAAATACAGTGGTGGTGGCTAGGAGCTGGGGGAGGAAAGAAATAGGGAGTTACTTTTCAATGGGTACAGAGTTTCAGTCTGAAAAGATGAAAAAGATCTGGAAATGGATGGTGGGGACGGCTGCACAACATTGTGAATGCCTCATTGCCACACAACCCTACATTTAAAAATGGTGGAAATGGTAAATATTATGTTATCCAGACTTTACCATCATAAAGATAACCAAACAGATCTTCTCTGCTTAAAGAAAAATAGCTTGCTTATCATGTGTGATCGGGGGTGCCACTCATGCTAAGTCTAGCTTTGAGATCTAGCTTTGGGGTCACAGTGGTTTTCAGAGGCAGCTTCTCATGAGAAGGGCAGGCTTACTTCACCGAGATGAGGGAAGTCCTTTTCTTTTCCTGACCGATTTCTCTATCTAGGAGGCTTTACCATCTTCACACATATGCCTTTGCTAGAGTGTAACCCACTTTTCCACAGATGTCTGCAGGAGGGAAAGCAGGCTTATCTGCAAGGATCCAGTGAACCTTTGACAACACTTGCTTCTCTCTGGAGATTTTCTTAGTCCTTATCCCTGTCTATCTGAAGGTGTGGCTAGACTTTTCTAAGAACAAACACAGGGCTGTAAATTCTATTTGGTTGTACCAAAGTAATTGTAGGCTCTTTGGAGACCTGAATGGGAATTTGATTGAGCACCCACACATCCAAGAACATTTGTTCTGTGTTTCATTTATGTCACTGCCCCCTGACAACCTGGAGTCCGTTATCCGACCCGATGCACAGGCTGTTTTGAGAAAAATTTAGCCAGGATACCTAGATGGAGACTTAACCCATAGGAATTTCTTTACAGTGTGGTGTTTCATGCCATTGTGGGTGTATTTGCTTATTTGCCCTGTATATTTTCCTTTCCAGGAATCATTAACCAATGGCAACAGGAATCCAAGGATAAAGTGATTTCCCTCCTGTTAACTCATCTGCCTTTGCTGAAGCCAGGAAACCTTGATGCAAAAGTAGAGTATATGAAACTGCTGCCCAAAATCCTGGCTCACTCTATTGAACACAACCAGCACATTGAGGAGAGCAGGCAGCTACTGTCCTATGCTTTGATACATCCGGCCACTTCGCTGGAAGATCGCAGCGCGTTAGCCATGTGGCTGAACCACTTGGAGGACCGCACGTCGACCAGCTTTGGCGGCCAGAACCGAAGCCGCTCAGACTCTGTGGATTATGGGCAGACGCACTACTATCACCAAAGACAGAACTCCGATGACAAGCTCAATGGGTGGCAGAACTCTCGGGATTCTGGGATTTGCATCAACGCCTCCAACTGGCAGGACAAAAGCCTGGGGTGTGAGAACGGCCACGTGCCCCTCTACTCCTCCTCATCTGTCCCCACCACAATCAATACAATTGGAACCAGCACAAGTACAAGTAAGTTCCCTGGAAGCCTTCTAGAGCAGTCTGGTGTAGTGACTTGCTGTGTGTGGCATGTCCCACTGAGAATGTCGCTCTGAGCACCCCGTAACCCTGGGAGAGAGGGGCTCACTGGAATTGGCTGTGGGAAAGGGATCTTTGGATCCCTTTGACTCTGGAAAGATAAAAATGCTGGTCAAGTAAAATGATCAATGGTCCAAATTTGGGTTGGACTGTGGGTTGGTGGGACTAAAAAGTAAATAAATAAGAGAGAGAATAAATGAGAAAAGAAGGAAACTTCCCGTTTCCACAAGTAGAAATGCCTTTTACCCACATGCCTTTCGCCCTGGGGTTTTTGGATTTGCCAAGACACTGAGTTACGTGTGATTCTCTAAACCTGATTCTAACCCCTGGTTAACCAGATGCCCTCATGGAATTTGTGCATTTTCTTTTGTTTTTCTTCTTCTTTTTTTTTTTCCTTTTTCTTTCTTTCTTCCTTTTTTTTTTTTTTTTTAATATATTTCACCCTGGAATGTTCCCTCCCTTGCATTTTCTGGTTTTTATCCCCTGCTGTTGGAGGCACTTTTCCTCCTGACAAGGGAAACAGGTTTGCTAACTGAGAATGCGGCTCTGTGCTGTGGCCTGGTGTGAATGCTGTGGCCTTTTCTTGCTCAGTCTAACTTAGGAGAGGCGGGTCAGGAACAGCTTTGAGGAAGGGGAGAGCAGAGGACAGCTTTCTGCTCTTTTGACCATGAAAGCAAAGTACCCTGCGCACAGCTGGGACTAGGGCCAGGAGTCCTCTCTGTGGCTCCCCACTCAGGCTGAGCAAAGGGACAAACATGCCATCGGTGCTTCTGTAAGTGGCAACATGGGAGAGGGGGCCTGTCATTGAACAGAAATCCTTGATGCTAGTTGCATGTGTCCATGAATACTGTGTCAGCACTGAGATAACTTTCTCGAGGGAAAGCTTTTGTGGTCAGACCTTCCGTGCCTGTCAATATGCAGGAACCCCCAATTAAAAGATCTGAGAGTAGTAAGAATTAACAGTGACGGCTTCTTGGCCTCTCCCTCCACTCGGATCTCTCAGCTAATGGGTCCTTTGAAATGGCTTTCTCAAATACATAGGAGTGTCAAATTAGAACTACATTAATTGAAATAACCAAGGAAATACTTAAGATACTGCATTCATAAGATTTTTAATTCTTTTTTTTACTTTTACATTGAGATTTTGATAACTCGTACATTTGGGGAATTAAGGGATTATTGCCTCATTACTTTATTATGTAAGAGGTTGTGGGGGCAATCTCTTTTGCAGACTAGTAATCCAGGGAACAGTTTCACTAGCCTCTGTGTGACACAGAGCGGTGGCTGGGACTATTAAGACAGACACATGCAGGCTGGATGACAGAGCTTTTTGGCTAAAGTTTCCCGGGTCAGGGACAGAATCTAGTAATTATTACAAAACTCTTTGATAGCTGGGAGAGATGCAAGCTCCAAGCTGCCTGCCCTCTCAAAACTTGGTCTTTCATATTTTAAGGGCTGAATTTTATGTCATTAGTCTTGGGTCATCATATTTCTGTCTGTCCTGATTTGCACACTCAGGGCTGTAAGTCTTGACAAGATTAGTACATTCGAGGTGGTTAGCAGATAGTAGTCTGTGGGTACTTTCATTTTTCACTGTGGCTGCCCAGCCCTGCAGAGGGGAGAAAATGCAGAGATAACTGTCATGGCCTCCCAGATCTTTGGGTCCCTGTGTAGTACTTGAGTAGAAAAAGACTTGAAGGTTTAACAAGATAACTAGATTACATATCTCAGGAAGAAGAAACGGGTTGGAGCCCTGTTTCAAAGCCTTGGCAAAGAAAGCTCAGATCTCTCTTCCAGAAAGTTTCATGCAAACACTTAGGCCATGTCAACACTTGTATTTCAGTATCTCTTTAACAAAACATTAGTGTTATTGCTTTAGTCTTCTGCATTGTCTATGGTGGTTAAATGGTGTTTGTCAAAGCTGCAAATTTTGGGTCATTCATTCACTTGTGCCTCTATCAAGTATATCCTGAGCACCTGGGAGGCGGGTTGACGAAGTGGAAAGAATCAGGACTTTGGTGTCAATGCCCTGCTAAGCCCAAATCTCAGATCTACAATTTGCTAACTACAGCTTGGCCAAGTTACTTAACTCTCTGAGCAAGGTCTTCACTTGCAAAATGAGAACATTCATGATACCCATCTTTGAGGGCTGTGGTGAAGGCACCTGAGATTACATATGTTGACGGCCAGCCCTGGCCAGAGCTGGCAATGGCATCTGCTAAGCGAATAAATGGAGAGAGTAGGGAGGACATCGAGGAGCAAAGTGCTAACACTGACACCCAGGGTCTGTGCCCGCATTTGCATCTCTGACTGTCACCTGGTGAAAGCACCTTTCCCGAGCCCAGGCCATGCAGAGTAGACTAGGGGTCCTTGACTATGCCGTGACTTTTGGCCATTTCACTACAATAGAAAATGGTTGGACTGAAGGCTTCAGGACCTCTTCTGCACTGAAGAGCTAGACGTCTTCCTTCTTTTAAAATGAAAAAATACTCGTACAAAACAACATGATTATAAATCATAGTAAGAGAACTGAGATCAATTACTGCTTCGCATTTTCAAATTATCAACCACCTTAATGACAGTTAATGAAAAGAAACGAACTAGAAGATGACTTCCTTACACAGTTTTTGGTTTTTAATCTCGGTTTATCCCACGCATGTTTTATTCCTTTGGTCATTTACGCTCCAGCAAAATGCCTTAGCATTCGTGGCCTCCTCCCTATGTGGATTCTGTATCATCCAACTGCACTGCAAACACTGCCCACCTCCTGGGTGCCCAGCACTGTGTTCGAGGCTGTGGAAAATATAAGGAAGCTTAAGGAAAGTGATTCATTTTCAGGGAACCTATCATATAAGTGGAAAGAGAAGATAGATCAGTCAGTCTCACAATTGAAAATGAAATCTCTCCCTCCAGCCAGACTAATCTGCAAAAATTTTACATAATAACCCATGCATTACGTAAAAGTGCAGTTAAAAAAAATAACTCCAATAGCTGCCATCGGGTGATATAGGATTGTGTCAGCTGAATGGGGGCGAGGGGGGGACGGAATGTACTGTAAGCACTGTGAATGTGTGAAATGGAAAGATCCTTATGAACCGGAGGGTCAGGAAAGCCTCTGTAGGTAATAGGGGAAGTAAGCTAGGTTAGAGATGGTGGGGGGACCGAGGGTAGGGACATGCATTGTGAGCAAAGGCATGGAGGTTATAGTATGTAGTCAGGGTTGGAAGATAGTGAGGAAGAAGGAGAGGTTCACGAAGGAAAAAGAGTAGTGAGAGACGGCAATACAAGTAGACTGAGGGAGGGGATCTGAGAGCTCTAAAGAGTCCAAGCATCCCACCATGGATGTGGCAGTGATATGAGCAATGCTGTAGGGGACTGGTGTACTGGGTGCAAACCAGATGAATGACAAGTGCTGAGTTTCAAAACCTCAGTTGTGAGGTAGTAAAAGTATCATGAGGATAGGAGCAGGCATGGAGCAGAAGGAATGGGTGCTAGAAATGTTTCTAGGTGTAATTATGAAAATTAGGACTCAGTATTGACTTGGACATACATTATCAATTTATTTATTTGTTCATTCATTAACTTAGAAAATGTTTATTGAGCACCTACTATATGCTTAACCTATTTAAGGCACTCAGGGTGCATCAGCGGACAAGACAAAGATGCTCTCCCTTATGGAGTTTGCAGTCTAACATGTATAAATTATAATATATAAGGAACTTATATAGTGTGTTAGAGATTGGTGAGTGGTATGGAAATTAAAAAAAAAAAAAAAAAAGAGTAGGGTCAGGAGGATCAGGCCTAGGTGGTGAGGTGGTTATAGGATTAAATAGGGTGGTCAGGATAGACCTCATCAGGAAAGTAACATGTGAACAAAGACTTGAAGGAGGTAAGGGGGTTAGCCAAGTGGGTGTCTGGGGGGAGAATAGTCCAGCCAGAGAAAAAGCTTAAACAAAGATCCCAAGATCTTTTCCCAGCTTGCTGGGGAAAAGCACAAAGGCCAGTGGCTGAAAGGGAATGAGTGAGTGAGGTAGACAGTGGCGGAGGTTGCCGAGGTATCAGGGAAGGACAGATCCTACAGGGCACTGCAGGCCATTGCAAGGACTTTGACTTTTGCTGTCAGGAAACCAAGAAGCCATTGGAGGGTTTTTGGCAGACAAGTGACGTGATCTGATTTATATTTTAAAGGGATCACTTTGGCTGCTGTATTAAGAATAGGCTGTACCAGGGCAAGGATGGAAACACAAAGATCAGTTCAGAGGCTATTGCAGTGATCCAGGCCAGACATTGCTGACTCTGGCCGGGATGGCTGAGGTAGAAGAGAGAAGAGTGTCAGAGTCTAGATATATTTTGAAAATACGAGATTTCCTGACAAGAGAAATGAAGGGTATGAGGGAAAGAATTCAAGAATGACTCCAGAGTTTTTGCTTATGTAACTGGAAGGATGGAGAAAATTTCTATTAAGTTTGAAAGCAAGATTGGGAGTTGTGTCATATATGACGAATCTCGGTGCCCATTAGATGATCAGACAGGTCTCGTGGGCATTTGGATGTATGAGTATGCAGTTTGGGAGAGAGGACTGATCTGAGATAGACATTTGGGAGTTACCAGTACAGAAGTAGTATTTAAAACTCTGAAACAGAATGAAATTACCAAAGCAAAGATGTAGACAGAGAAGAGGACCAAGGACTGAGCCTGGGTACTTCAACATGAAGGCTGAGGAAGAGGAGGATAAAGCAAAAGAAATGCAGGAGAAACCATTGAAGTCAGAAAAAAGTCAAGTGTGTGGGCGTCTTGCAGGGCAAATGAAGAACATGTTTCAAGGGGAAAAAGTGATCAGGTAAAATTCTGCTGATACATCCAATAAAATGAGGACCAAGGATTAACCACTGGATTTATCAAAAAGCAATATTAGAGATAAATTGGGAGTACTT